GTTGGTATCGTCTTGTAATAGCTAGTTTAGGATCTCCCTAATCCTCTATTCCTTTTATATTGTGTATAATTCCAGAATGATCCTTTCTTGTCCATCTTTTAATGATGTATTTTTTTTGGCACAACCTTGACATCTTTCACTTCAAAAACCTTTAATGCATAGGAACAAAGGATGCCAAATGTTTCAAATTTTCTACAAGTGCAAGATATAGAATTTGAGGTATGATCAAATGATACTGTCCATGATCCATTTCCGTTGACTGTAGTAATGACATATTCAAACAAAGGGGAAGATTCATTCCTTTTTTACATGCAACATGCAAATAATGAAGCAAACTCTTGTCGGAATATGTTAAAAATAGTATGTATGTAAATTTTACCCATTTGTAATAGGATGAGAGATATCTTATATCTCAACATTACTAGTTTATAGCGAGACTCATACTCACAAACTAGATCATTGTAATGTTTATCTTCTACCACATGTTCAAAATATGCAAAGAGCTGTTTAATGTCAACACCAGACTTCATACAAGCCTTAAAATATAATTTACACTCTTACTTAGTTGAGTACTTCGCATCCCAAGTGTGAACACTTCCTTCATGTAGCAGGCTACCCGTTTTTCCTTTATTCCATATATTGATTTGATCTAATTATTCTCAGGAACATTGTATTCCTCAAGGATACTTGTCCAAGCTTGCTCAAATTAATGTGTTAATGTCATATATGCATCTTTTGAAATTTCTTAAAAAATGACTTATGCCTTTCGTCAAATTACTAAGGTATTTGATTCCATTTTGCATCAGGTGTCATGTGCACAAAACATGATGTGTCTCAGGCATCATTTCCACAACAATTTTAGCCATCACTTGATCTTGGTCAATAAATATTGCTAATGACTTTTTTTTATTATGCGCTTTTAAGAAAGTATCAAACAGCCATTTAAAAGATTCAACCGTCTCATCATATAACAAAGTTTGAAGACCTTAGCACAGATTTGGACCTCATTTCTGTTTACCAACATTATCCCTATCACTCACACGTCAGACTTCTGCATGCCTTAGGCCTACCTTATATACAACATCATGGAAAGGATCACCATGGATATTGCCACAATTATATTTGATGAGATTTACCAAATTGTAGTCTCAATTGATGTAGCAGACCTCTTGCATGATTGTTTCAATCAAGAAAGAAAGGTCATAATAAGATCAGGTTACATAATGGGTCTGTGAGGAACATCAATAAAAAGGATCAGACCGAGTGCGAGATACCAAACCAGACTTCATTGAGCCCTTAATTGAAAAAAGTCCATTTCATTAACAATTATTGCATCAACTAATTAGAAGAGAGAAATGTAGCTTCTCAACCTTCCTCATCAGCACCACCAATAGTATCACTGCCCATTCATAACATGACACCCATGGAGTGTCACCTCACACAACATCTAACTGAAATACAATATCATATGGAAGTCAATCATCAAGCTTATACCTATATCCACCACAAGCTAGCAGCAAACTATCGAGCATACATTGGATTCTATGCAAGAGGACGTAGATATAGTTGTAACACTTAAAGAGTTGCAACACATGTCTCATGGCCTGGAGACACCCCTCCATTCCCAAATCAACCCAACCAATGTGAAGTGTCTCTTGCGCATGAACAAGGGCAACCAGTTGACGAAGGGGTCAAACAAGAGTCTCAAGAGGAGGAACAAGGTCAAGAGGTAAAAGGTCATCAAGAGCACCATAGCATAGAGCAAGGAGATCAAATGCATGATGATGTTGTTGTTGAAGAATAAACATTTATTTTGTTTTCTATTTTCCTTATTTCATTAGGAATATTTAACTTGATGTTTAATTTAGTTTCTTTCCCAATTTTTTTTTTGTTTCAAGCCATCTAATGTGAACAACCTAATGTTAGAAATTTTTATTTATAATATAAAAATATCATTATCTCTTAAATTTGATTACATTTACTCCTATAATATTATGGCTTTGATAACCAGTTTCTGATATGTTTTTTTCTTCAAAATCTGTATTTTTCGCTTAAACTATTTATAATCGCTTCAGCTAATAAACTATTTATTTAAACTAATATAGATTTACTTAAACTATTCATTATTCACTTAAGTTATTTTTGGTAGTTTAAGCAATTTTAAACTCTAAAAATAAGTGCTTTCTGTCTTTTTTTTGCTTAAACTATTTATATATTTTCAGGATTTATTTAAGTTATTTTTATTTGCTTAAACATTATGTATGTCTGAAAATTAAAATTCTCTATCTATTTTTTTCTTAAATTATTATTTTCACTTAAGCTAAGTTTTGTTTAACTCTTTTTTTTTTTTAAGGAATTAGTTTTAAAAAAATTGGCTCAAGCTATCTTGTGATGAGTTTAATCAAAATTAACCTATATTCATTTAAGCAAATCAAAATTATTTAAGCAAAAAATAGATTGAACGTTCAATTGCAAATTAGAGACAATCAAGATCCGTATCGTATCTACTGTTAACCTTACCTAACTACCGATATGCACCAATGCACCATACAAAGAGGAAATTCCTTTACTAACAATCTCATTAAAAAAGTGGAACGTGATGATTCATTTGCCATTAAAAAAATATACTTTTTAAAAGTTACAGTAACTTAATAATAATAATTCAATCAAGTCCTTATTAACTAGTCAATTAACTCACGCATACGTCACGTTTGCCACTAGCTGATCTGATCGTAGCCTTCAACTAAAATATTCAACTTACATAACATCAAGGGTTGGATCGAAGGTTTATTCCTTGAATTTTACTAATTCGCGTTTCACGAAAATATCACTATTTTTTACTAGTGACAAAACAACTAAAAGGACAAATTTTATTGTTCTGAAATGAAACATGAAAGAGTCAAGAGAGAACAAGATAACGTTGGCACTATTGAGTGCTTTGTGTGTTACATTCCTATTTGATAAAACTACTTGCATAGGTATAGTGTGAGTGACACAACGTGACATCTTGTACAGGTGTCCATTTTCTTCGTCAGTTGTACAAAAGAAAAGAAACATCTTTGTCTCTTTAATACGATTTAGACCTGGGGTGACCTACAGCTACAAGGACAACTGATGGTGGCTAATTTGGTTACACGTTGGTCGGTAATCATAAATCAAACGATGGACCTCGTCAAACATTCTAGATTTAATGATTTCTCAGAGCGGACATAAACTATTATTGTACTTAAAACGGATGGTTAATTGTCTAGTGGCCCTGACAAATCAATTCCATTTCATAAATTATCTTTTGGAACCGAATTAATTCCCTGCCATGTGCATCAATATCTTATCTGGCTGCTTATCTATGTGTACTTACAAAATTTTAATTCAAAAAACAAAAATAATATTCAAAGCAAATTATGATTATATTATTATAACAAGAGAATGCGATTATATATACAGTAGTTATAACAGTAGAGTCCGTTCAACATTTGTGGGCCTTTAAATAAGATGTATGGATACAGATAACAGTTGACCCAGAGAAAAAAAGACGCAGACAGCGTGAGAAATGGTGAAAGATAAAATATGCCCCCACAAATGACTTAGCATTCAATACTCAAAGACCAGTGCCATGACTCATTCGCGGAGATGTATCAGCATTCGTATAGTGTAATTAATTTAGACAAATTGTACGAGTTATCTTAAAATTATTAGTGGGATCTCGATCTGAATGGTTTGCTTAGCGTCAAAGTTTAGATTGAGATTGACATCCAAAGGAGACAAATAGATAGTCCACTCGATTTTGCATTAATCTAATTCTTCTTAGCAAGTTACTACCAGCATCTTATGGACACAAATTATCAAACGTTCATTATATGTTTTATTATATAACATGAATATTTCAATTTTTGTTCATATAATTAGCAGTAAAAAATAACAATACTAAGGACTTAGCATTTAGGAAAATATCAAATTGATAACTTGTAAAATATAATCGATTAGGTACTTAAAAGTTGTGTGTCACACACCCCCGTTCCTGTGACTCTGTATGAAGTGAGGGAAGAATAAGAAAAAAGAGAGAGAGAGAGAGAGAAGAGAGAAAAAGTAACATAATGTAATTTTTTCAAAAAAAGATAAACAAAAATTAATATCTTTAACAGATAATACCTATTCAAGCATGTTTAAATCTAAAAGAAAAAAAAAATAAAAAAGAGACACTGAAAAAAAAGAAGTTACATAGCCGATCTATTAATTCTACCTTTTGCAAATTATAATTTACATTACAACTGCTTAAATGTGCTTTGAACTTTGTATCCTCATGTGAGTAATTCTTCCTCTTTGATCTATTTTATAAGTTACCTTTAATTAAATTATACAAATTAATAAAATAAGTTAAAATTAGTTTATTTTTCATATATTTTTAAAACATATTATATGATGATTTTTATTTTTATCTTCAATTAATATCAATAATCTTAATTTCATTATTTATATTTTATTGACTTTATTTTTTAAAAATAAATACAAAAGTTTATATAAACCATAAAACATTCCATAAAAAGACTAATAAAATTTGTTAGAAAATACTGTTAAAAGAAGAAAAGAAATGCATAGGTCCAGCAGCGAATAACGTAAGGATATAATCCTGTGAGCGACATAATTAAATGTGAAATTTTATTTCTTTTATTGAAAAAGAAAAAAAGATAAAGAAGAAGAAAAATGATACTCCCTCTTTTAATTTTTTTATAAATATAAATTTTATTTTATAAATATCTATAATATAATTAATAATTTATATATTTAATAATATTAATAAAAAAATAAAAAAACTTAACAATTAATATATCTTAAATATATCATTTGTGAGGAAGTGGAGTGACCAAGTCAACAGAACCTAACCCGATCAATCCAACCCATACACATACACAGAAATTGCGGCAAAACCCATCCTTGCCCCAATTCAGACAAATTATAGAAGCAAGACAAGATAAAATAGACAGAGACATTAGCGGCTTCTTCTTCGCAACTTTTGCGGAAACCAACAGAGAGAGAAAGAGAGAAAGAGAGAGATCGATGTATTGCCATTTCATCGATCTCTACTTTGATCGACAAGAAATTAAATAAAATAAAAAATTCGATTCATTTATTCCTCTTCTCAATAACAACAGAATCCACAGGCGCAGTCACATTGCAACATGTAGAGCATTTCTTTCGCTATTTAGAACCGTTCCTTCGAAGATTTCTCGGACCGTGAGCATGGAAAGCGTTGCCGCGCAGCTGAAGCGCGGCATCTCGCGGCAGTTCTCGGCGGGGTCGCTGCGGAAGAACCTTTCGCGCCAGTTCACGCGGCAGGCCTCGCTGGATCCGCGGCGGAACAATCTCCGATTCAGCTTCGGACGCCAGTCCTCGCTCGATCCAATTCGGCGGAGTCCGGCCTCCGACCAGGCGAAGCTTACGGTCCCCGAGAATCTGGACTCGACGATGCAGCTTCTGTTCATGGCCTGTAGAGGTGATGTTAAGGGAGTGGAGGATTTGCTCGACGAAGGCATTGACGTCAATAGTATCGACCTTGACGGCCGCACCGCCCTCCACATCGCCGCCTGCGAGGGCCACGTCGAAGTTGCTAGGCTCTTGCTCACGCGCAAGGCCAACATCGACGCTCGTGATCGCTGGGGCAGTACGGTAATTTCATCTTCCCATTAAATATTTACTATTATTATTATTCCCGCTTTCTCTTTCTTGTCAATCCCCAGATTATTCATAGCTTTTTTATCGTGCAAAGCATTGTGTATGATAAACACTTACCTGTAATAGTTTTTTATTAAAAATTATAGAATTTAATGAAATTTAATATATTAATATCATTGAATATTATAATTTAAAAAATTATCATTAAATATTGTACTAGTTGTTTTTTTATTAATAAAGTGTGAAGAGGGCAAAATTTTGTAATAATATTAAATATTATATTTTTTAATAAAATTTATTATTTATCAATAAGAGACGTTTTCGGGAGATAACTCTAATTTTCAAATCAAATAACATGTGTTAATCGCTGATGTTTGGACAAGTTACTTAAATTATCACTAATATTATTATATTTTTATGATTGAAAACAAATTTATAATTATAATAATAATCTCTTGGATTTTAAAATTTTTTTCAGAATAGTAATTTCTACGTCGTCTTGTAAATCAAGACATAAATAATTATTACCGTTAATTTTATTAATAATTAGTAAAATTAATAATTTATTTTGAAAAAAGATAAATACCTTTTATTCTTTAAGATATTATAAGAATTGCAACTATCAATTTCACAGGATAAACGTGTCCTCTAAACCACCTTAAATTTGGTAATTTACCAATTTAGAGTCGAATTTTCAATTTGTTTAATTCGAATATAATGTGTCTTTTTTTCAAAATAAAAATTATTTTATTTTCTTTATTAATGTGTGATGTGTGGATATGCAGGCAGCGGCTGATGCAAAATATTATGGAAATACAGAAGTTTATTACATGTTGAAGGCCCGTGGAGCAAAAGTGCCGGTATTGCATCACCATTCTTTGCATGTCATGTTGTGCATAAATGGGTGTGTTTAATTGAGTTTAGAGGCTTACTGATTAATAATCTTTGACGTGGTTAGAAAACCAGAAAGACTCCAATGACTGTTGCAAATCCTCGTGAAGTTCCAGAATATGAACTCAACCCATTAGAACTACAGGTTCGGAAGAGTGATGGTATTTCAAAGGTATGCTTCTGTTTCTTTCTTTTGTTGGATCCCGGGGGGTTGATTTATCTTTAGTATTGTGGCATGTGAGGTTCACCACTACACATTAAATTAAATTTTAGCTTTGCCATATTTTGTGACCGATGTACTGATTTCTCTTTGGCAACGATCCGATCCCCAACCCCCACCCCCCACCCCCCAAAACTTTGTTTTTCCTGTTAATTTTTGTTGTTTGAGTTTATTTCAAGTGAATACCAGCAAAGTGGTATTTGTTGGTACTTGATGTGCTGATGCTTGTCTATTATAAACATTGTTGATGCCTGTTGGAATTGAGTTCATGTATCTATGAACATCTCACATTAGTAAGCTAAATATTAATAGTTTAATACGTGTTTAAATTACTTGCTTTTATAGTTATTCACCGTTGTTTGATCAATCAATCTATATGCAGGGAACATATCAAGTAGCAAAATGGAATGGCACAAAGGTTGCAGTGAAGATACTTGACAAGGACAGTTATTCAGATCCTGAAACCATGTATGTATACACCTCAGCAATTGAACATGTTTGTGTCAGTGTCTGGATGTTATGCTTCTTGCCAATCAAGTGGGTTGTTTGATGATGGTTGGCTATATTCTTGTCTGACTACATGTATCACTACTTTTCACTTTGATTTCTGGTCAAGGTGGTGTAGATTGCTGTTTGTTTCTATACTTTACTTGTCAGCCTTGGCTCTAAATTTTGACTATTTCAATAATTCACTCAGAAATGCTTTCAAACATGAACTCACAATATTAGAAAGGGTGCGACATCCTAATGTGGTCCAGTTTGTTGGAGCTGTCACCCAAAATATACCTATGATGATTGTGCGTGAGTACCATGCTAAGGTAACCTTACCCTCTCTGTCCCTTTCTATATTTGCAAAGTTGTACGTTTTTTGTATGTAACTCACTTTTCATTGCTCATATCCTTGTTGAATTTTCAGGGTGACCTGGCAAGCTATCTTCAAAAGAAAGGGCGTTTGTCCCCATCAAAAGTTCTACGGCTTTCTCTTGATATTGCTAGGCAAGTAATCATTTTAAGGAACTATGCTGTAGAAATATTTGTTAGTGCATCTTTGAAAAATTTCATGCCCTTTTCTTACTTTTTATTATATCTTATATCGTCATTGATTTCTAGTAGGTGCCTTTGGCCATTTTCTTAGCTTGCTAGGTTTACAATGCACCGAATGATTATAAATTTGTTAGACATTCTACCAGATTGTTTACATATCTCGATAATTTACTGTTAGCAGGGGCATGAACTATCTTCATGAGTGCAAACCAGATCCGGTTATCCACTGTGATTTAAAGCCAAAGTAAGACCACTTAATACAATCTGATATTTACTCATGACTGTGATATGAGTGCATTTTGAATTAGATTTTTTCTCATAAGATTACTGTTCCTTTAATATATGAAATTTGGTAAGGTGCCAGAAATATTTTGCTGGATAATGGAGGGCAATTGAAAATAGCTGGATTTGGCACTGTGGGATTTTCGCTAATCTCACCTGATAAAGCAAAGCTGGTAGAGCCCGAGGCTACCATTGACCGTTCAAGTACGTTTTTGAGTATTTCCAATTTTTTCCCTTGAATTTCATCTCCTTCAAAATTGATTGGAAGGTTTTTATTCTTCAGTGTCCCATTTTCTTTCATTTTTTTTTTATATTTGTGTTAAATGTATGGCATTTTGTACAAGCAAAAATTGGATATTGAAGCACAATAACTACGTAGATTACAGCATGTGAAACTGCCGTTATGATTTGAAGTTTCACTTATAAGCATCTCAACACCTGTGTAATTTTCTCCTTCAGTACTTCAATACTCACTCCATCTCAACTTGATGGTCCCTTGGCCCAACAAATGCAAGTGAAAGACAAAGTGCAAACTGCTGTTTTCTCCATATACCCTATTGCACTGAGTTTTATTTGAACTAGATCTGATTATACTTTAATATATATTTGAGTTGATTGAGAAGGTATCATGGTACAATGAATAATTAAATTCGAAGGCTTGCATGAAGGAGGAACTGTCATTTTAAAGAAAAAGTAAAGCAAATGGACAAGCATTTCATGAAAGATTAAGTGATATATTACATGTTAGTCTTGTAAAAATATGTCAAGATTAGAGTTGCTAGAAATATCTTTCATGATTCAATTTTTGACTGTATACATTGCAGGCTTGTACGTGGCACCGGAAATTTACAAAGACGATGTATTTGATAGAAGTGTGGATGCATATTCTTTTGGTCTCATTGTATATGAGGTACCAAACTTTTTAACACGCATAATGTTAATCTTTTATGAATTATGATGTTTCATATATCAGATTCAGAGTTTTCAAATTAGTTTTTTGTAGATGAGATTTTTGTTTTTATGGCTTTGGGCCAGTTTCTTGCCTTGACAACATGTGAGCCTGAGTTACATTGAACAGTGGCACTTAGGCTAATGCTCTTAAGTGGAAAAAGCTGTGTCCTAACTATTAGCTGTAGTTTTTAGCCTAGTGGTAATCACTCAATCTACAAGTGGTATTAGAGTTGAGACTTGAGATCAAGAATTGTTGCTCAGAAGGGCATGAGCTGGAGGTAGGTGCTGGGGGTTATGAATGAGGAATTTGATAATTGTCTTGACTCTTGATATTTCTTCATATGTTTTACAATATTGAAGTCACTGAAGATTATTGATGCACTTCTCTTTTCGTGAAAACACTTTTTAGTTATTCTAAATTCATTTAGATTTTTAAAATTTATCACGCTAATCTTCATTTAGTTGTCTATTAGTTGAAATTCAAGGAATTTCTTAATTTTATGTCTCTTTTATATACCCAGATGATAGAGGGTGTACAGCCCTTACATCCCAAGCCCCCGGAGGAGGCAGTGAAACTGTTGTGCTTAGAAGGGAAAAGACCCCCATTCAAGATCAAAACAAAACATTATCCTCCGGATTTGAAAGAGTTAGTCTATTTTAAAGTTAAAATTAGATAATCGAGCTTCAGGTTAATTTTAAAATGGTCTAACAATCATGGTTTATGCAGATTGATTGAGGAATGTTGGGATCCACAACCTGTTGTCAGGCCAACATTTTCTCAGGTCATTGTACGGCTGGACAAAATTGTTGCAAATTGCTCAAAACAAGGATGGTGGAAAGATACTTTTAAACTTCCTTGGTATGTTTCCTTGACTGATTACCTCCATATAGAATGCTGATTTCTTTGGAGGAATTCAAAATGGTGGATGTGTTCATATGTTCACCTTGAAATGCTAAAATCCATCATGCCTTGAGGTTGTTCGATTTGAGCAATGCTTGTTGCAAAAAGACTGATATCACTGTTCTACTTGTTATGAACTTTCTTTGCTGTCTTCTAAACTGGCATTACATTTCAATGTGTGCAGGAAATAAATATTAAGTTACATACCACATAATAACAATGAAGACATCAAGTTCCGGGTTGCATCCCCAACATCAATTTGTGAGCATCATGTTGTACTGTTAACAGCCATTGCAATTAATAATTTCGGAACTCGAATAATATTAACTTGAGCTTGGATTTGAGCATGAAAATGAGATTCAACGGCTCCACCTTTGTTCTCTGTCCACCAGAGGGTCTGGAACAGGTCCTCCTCGTAAAATGTACTATGAACGACATATATTATTTATTCTCAGAAATTTTCTAATAAAAATATGTATCTATGCTCATCGATCGACTACCACGTGCTCCAAGTTAGAAACGGGTGCTATTTGTGACTGTTGCACGATATATGTTGTGTGTTTTATATGGAGCTGGTTTTTGTCCCCCAATAGTCAAAGCCGCCAATGCCGTTGCTGTTGCTGTGGTGTTAGGCGAACGTTTAGTTGCTAAAACAATTCATTATATTTTGTGACATCATTCAAGCTCTTCAACGACCACTGCAGAAAAGTATATAACATGCAGAGTTTTTTGTGCTACAATAACTTTTGTGAAAATAGGTTTGATTATTTTTGCTGGGGGGATTTTAGTTTTTTCTCAAAACCCAAGCCAGTTTTACAAGATAGAGAAATTGGAATGTCGAAGTTCAGTCTCAGAATGCGTTCATCTCAGAGAGTGAATGACTCCTCCCGGCGTCGTCTCGTCTCGTCTCTTCTGCTTTCAGAGGCTTTGGAGTTTCTCTTTCGCTTCGTCTTCTTTTCTTCCCAGTCCTTTTGCTTCACATCTTCGTTGAATGCAGCAGAAGCATGTTCAGGTGTAGGGAATCATCTATCCAACCGGTTTGAGATTTGCTTCTCAATGCCGTGTCACGATTAGACAAAAACAAAATAAACATGCGTTTTGTGTTTTGTACTTTCCTCACTCTGCCAAACCAAATGAGCAATCTAATTAATAAAGTTTAAGTAATTTTTAATTTTATCCTAGATAAAGTTATTCAAAGTTTAATACCTTTTACATTAAATGTGCAAGTTAAGAAAGATATATATAAATCTGTTAAAAATAAAGATATTTATTACTTTTAAAATAAAATGCTATTTAATGTTTTTTAAGTAATTAAAATGTTAAAAAATGTATGTTTAATTTCTTTAACATGTATCAAATAGAAAAATATAAATGAATTAGATTGATTAATTTTTTATCGAAACGTCAAATAGGTATATTTTTTATTTTAATGAATTCAATTGTTGTTGTCATTAAAAATTATTTTCTCTTTTTGTGCTGTCAAATTTTATTTTTCTTATCGTCTCATCTAATTATTCTATATAATGTAATACTAATATATAATTTTTAATTTGTTAGGAATTTTTTTAAAAACATGTCTGAAAATGGAAAAATTAATATATCTAATTTATATATTAATAAAAATGATAAAAAATATTAATGCTTTCTTGTGTGGCCAATATTTATTTTAATTAAAAGTAAATATTATGAATTTTTAATTTTTAAAATTATTTAAATATATTTATTTTGATTATACATTTTAAATATACTTCTAAACAAGTTTAAAAATAATATGTTTTTCAAATTTTTAAAGTGTATATATTTTAAAGATAAAATAATAATAAATTGAATGAATAATGTGATAAATTTAAAAGAAATAAAATTTAATTAATATTAAAAAACAAAAATTTGATAATAAATAATTAAAATTTATATGAGACGTTATTAAATGAAAAAAAAATGAGAATTCATATAATAAAATTATTTAAACAATTTAATATAAATTTTCCCAATTAATGAGGACTTGATTAACAAGAAAGGTGGGGGATTGGAGCCCCCGAAATGAAAGGGAAGCGGTATGAATTCAAAGGGCAGAAAATGAAAAAGGTGTAATAAGTAAGGAGAAAGTGGTAATAAAAGGCAACCCAGTGTCCCCTCCCGCTGGTGGCTGCATAAGAAAGACGAACACCTTAAACCTCTCCTCTCCTCTCCTCTCCTCTCTTAGCACTCTTTTTCTCTATTGCCTCCGTCTTCTACGTTCCGCATAAGTATACTAAGCTCAATCACCACCTCACCTCGCAATAACACTAAGATCTAAGCAACACTAATTTCTTCATTCCTTTCTCATTTTCTTCTTCTCTTTGAATTCGTTCCACAATGGCATCCAGAGCGGTTCTGAGAAGAAGGACGAGTTTCATTCATCGATACCTCAGCAACACTAATCACTCTCTTGCACGTGCGATTCCTAACGCTTCTCCTCACATGCACGCAACGACGCCGTGCAGATTCGCCAGGTCCTCTCCTCGGGATGCTTTTTCGGGATTCAATGCGCCGATAGGTGTCAGGTGGCTCTCGCAGTCCGCTTCGGCTAAGCAAGCCGAGCCGGAGCAAGACGACGATATGGTTGCGAAGAAGCGGAGAGAGGCGTCTCCCGAGGAGTGCGATCAAGCCGTTGAAGGCTTGACCACCGCCAAAGCCAAAGCAATGGCTAAACGCTCGCAGGAATCTCAGAAAGGCGTGCAAACCGTTTTGCAGAGAGTGTGGGCCGCGTTTCTTGGAATCGGTCCTGCCTTGAGAGCCGTAGCATCTATGAGTAGGTCTGCCTCCTTTTCCATGCGCTTATTTGATATTAAATTGCAGTTACAGTTCCATTGCGATCGCCAAAATTGCAGCAATTTGCATGTACTGTTGAGAATTGCATTTGATTCTAATTTGAAGCTACGGTCGTGTTTCAATTATGGAAAGTGCAGAGAGTAGTGGTCATCTTTACAAAGACTTTTAAACTAGTGTTGTGGTTGCGATTTACGAATTCTAATTTCTAGTTTAAAACAGTTAAATGATTATTCGTTAATGATTGGTGATTTGGCGTTTTGGTTTGCTAATTCTTGCTGCTGTAGGGAGGACTGGGCCAAGAAACTGGTTCATTGGAAAGGGGAATTTGTGTCGACATTGCAGCATTATTGGTTGGGCTTTAAGCTGCTGTGGGCTGATGTGAGAATCAGTTCCAGGTTGTTGTTGAAGCTTGCTGGTGGGAAGAGTCTCTCCAGGAGGGAGAGACAGCAACTGACGCGAACTACTGCTGACATATTTAGGCTAGTTCCTTTTGCGGTTTTCATTATTGTTCCCTTTATGGAATTCCTCCTGCCTGTGTTTCTCAAGTTATTCCCCAACATGTTGCCGTCAACGTTTCAAGACAAGATGAAAGAACAGGTAATCACCAAGATTTTTTAGGCTGCTTGTCTGTTGTCTTTACTGACTATGTTAGTCCAAAATAAAATTTACATAAATATTTATGCATAAGTGATATATTTATTTTCTTGTTGAAAGTGACCTACTGTTAAAGGTCATTTGTTCCATTCCTTCAATACCAAGGCTAAGAGAAATTTTACAACTAAGCCACTACATGGTCTGTCCTAGCCTGTGTTGAACGCGCCCCAGGATTACCATCAACATAATGTTGATTTTTCACTAATCTTCATCTTTGGTTACAAATAGTGCATAAGCATGTCGTTATATGTGTTCTATGTTTTCTGGCAGCAACTGGTAGTGAATAGTGATGATCCTGATCACTAACTCTCTGTATTTTGAGTGTGCATTGATTGTTTTATTCAGCTAGTGTGAATGTCTGGGGTTAGATTACCCATCGTAGGGTGTTTGGGTGACTTAGTTATTCAATGTGTAGGAAGCATTGAAAAGGAGACTCAAGGCAAGAATAGAGTATGCAAGGTTCCTCCAGGATACAGTCAAAGAAATGGCAAAAGAAGTTCAGAACTCCCGTAGTGGAGAACTAAAGAAAACTGCCGAAGATCTTGATGAATTTTTAAACATGGTTAATAATTCAGTTTAAAAAATTGTTTATCTATCTTTCTTGCCAATTGAATTTCTTTTTTAGTTTGTCATTTGTACCCTTTATTTTCTTTCTGCAGATTAGAAGAGGTTCACGTGTTTCTAATGAGGAAATTTTGGGCTTTGCTAAGTTGTTTAATGATGAACTCACTCTAGATAATATAAGCAGGTTGGTCTTTTAACCTGTTTAACTTAAATATGTTGTTTTCCTTAGTTGTAAGGTGGTCTCATGACTTCTACTGTGTCTTAACTGCTTGTAGGCCACGATTAGTCAGTATGTGCAAGTACATGGGAATCAGCCAGTTTGGCACTGATGCTTACTTGCGTTATATGCTAAGAAAGCGTTTACAGAGGTATGATGCATTTTATCATACAAGTTTTTAAAACCTTTTTCTTACTAATTTTAATTGCAAGCTGATATTTTATTTAAAATAAATTGTAATACAATTTGGAAATTGAAAAATATATTTTCTCTAATATAAAGGTACCTTGTTATTGGAAAAGATTACCTACCCTTACTATGTCATTGGGGGAAAAATATAAACACAAAATGATTGAATACAATAAGAACATTCCTGTCTTGTAGCTATAACAACAATAAGTGAGACCTTATCCTTGCAGCCTTATCCGGCTTCATGTATCAAACAATGTCTTTGGACATGAAATTCCTGATGAATACACTGATGCAACACCTGATGGCCAAAATTAGGCTTGGGAATAGAATTGGGCGTACTTATTCATACTTTATGTTTGGATTGGAGTTTAGTGTCCCATTAACTTTTGAAAATTTTAAAAATTGGAATTATCATACATATTTTTTTTTTCCTTTTGTTTAAGCCTGAATCATTTGGCATAGTCTCTTTCCATTTGATTAAAGTTAAATCATTTGGAGAGGAATTATAATTAAAATATCAGAAGAGGATTTATTTCCTTTCATTATCTTGTTGGCCTGAACACTTTAGAAGCCATCTAATAAAAGCTTTGGACAAGGGAGGAAATGAATTTGAGACATCAGGTTTGAGCTCAACAAAATCTAAAATTATGGCCCCAAAAGATTTGGTATAAATCTAGGTTTGAAATTTAGGGCTTGTTCTATCTTAATTGCTCATTTATACATTGCTTCAAACTACTGTTATATGATACAGCATTCATTTTCAGGTGTTATGACTATAATTAGCATCATTTGTGACAAAAATTCAGCAAAATAGTTTACTTTTTCACCTTTTAAGATTCTATATTCAAATTACTATTTAACTCAACCAACCTAACAATTGCTTATCACATGCAACATATCCCCCTCTTGTTAGGATTAAGGAAGATGATAAATTGATTCAATCAGAAGGTGTAGATTCTCTTTCAGAAGCTGAACTTCGGGAAGATTGTAGAGAGCGAGGGATGCTTGGTTTGTTTTCTGTTGAGGAAATGCGCCAACAGGTTTTGTGTTAGGAACAAAGCATGATTGTTTGTGTTCTATTGGAATACTAGATCTTGATGCTGATGATGATATTGCAATCTCAAATTTTACTTTAGTATTTATATTCTAAAATTTGTCTACCTGCCTGTACAGCTTCGAGATTGGCTGGACTTGTCTCTGAACCACTCTGTGCCCTCATCTCTTTTGATACTTTCAAGGTAATTTTAGCAAGGCTTCCTCACTGGGGATAGATAATAACAATTAGAGGAAGAACCTACTTGATATGCATTGTGAAATCTTGCTTGATATCCTTTATAGGACATTTACTGTATCTGGAAGATTGAAACCAGAAGAAGCTGTACAGGCTACAATTTCTTCTCTCCCCGATGAGGTTGTAGATACTGTACAGGTTACATCCTTAGCCTCAGAGGATTCTGTCTCAGAGAGGAGGAGGAAATTGGAGTTCCTTGAAATGCAGGAAGAACTTATTAAGGTAAAATGTGGAATTCCATTGTTATTTATACTTATCCTGTTCAATGGTCTCATTGTTGCATCAGGATGACATTGACAAAGTTATTCTGTTTGATTAGTGTTTGATATTTGCTTTGGTTATATGATCAGAATCTACAAAAAATACTAAATGATCATATAAAGAACCATTCAAATATTTTGTTTGACAGAGTTCATTTGGAGTCTGATTAGTAAGGTTAAAGAATAAAGTGCTTAGTGTTAATTTGCGGAGTTCACCATAAAGTTCATTTTTTAAGTTTGAATAAGTATTGATGAAAATAAAATGTATTTCTTTTGATTCAAGATTTGATGGTTCCAAAAACTGCTAAATAACATAGTATTATAAATAAAATGTAGGAGGAGGAAGAGAGAGAGGAGGTGGAGCAAGCAAGAATGGAGAGTAATTCTAATCAAGATGATAGGGCCCTGAAAGAAATGAATATTTCAACGGCAAAAGAAGCCCATCAGCTTGCTAGAGCCAGAGCATTGGAAAACAAAGAGCAGCTCTGTGAACTTAGTCGTGCATTAGCTGTTTTAGCTTCTGCATCGGTGAGAATTTGATATTCCTTCAATTTGGTGAATTGCTTTTGATCTTGTATAGTCTATACTAATTAACAGTTAAACATATAACCTGTTTAATATGTGCTAATATATTCTACAACGGTGGCAGTCTGTAAGTACAGAGCGTGAAGATTTTCTCAGGCTGGTTAATAAAGAGGTATATTGGAACTTTCAGAATTCATCATTTGCTTTTGCAAACGATCAAATACCAATAAGATTAAATTGTTTGAAAAAGAAATGAAAGGTTTTTTTTGGTCCAAAACCAAAAAGGTGGAGGTTGCTAACATCCACCAATGAAGAATAAAAAAGAGGTGGGTGTCTGTAATGAATAAGTTTTTATAAGATGAACTTTTCACAAGATCTATTTTTGGATTGAAAGCTTGTGTCATGGTCATAAAATTTTATATTTGTTTAGTATCATTTTGGACTTCTCCATGGAATTGTATTAAAATTCATCTTTGATATGCTTTACAAATAAATGAAAACATTGACCTTTTTATTACAAACTTATTTTTGTTTAAATTTTCTATCATTTGGCTTGAAAGATATATTTCAATTTGTCATTTTTTTCCTGTAAGAAGTTGTTGAGCGGTGAAATCATGTAAGTGTATCAAATCTGGCACTGGTGTTAGGGACGACACAAACACTTGCTAGTGAGGCTGGTCAAGGATAATACATGCACACAATAAATAAATTTTTAGATATTGTTTACATAGAAAATATATTTATATAACTTAAGTAAAGATAAGTTTACAGTTGTTTCTTACACAATTTCTTATGTTTGATATTACTACTACTGACTAGTACTGCTTTCAAATATTCTTCTTTGTAATCTAAGAATCATCTACAAACAATTTATCTCTGACATTGTTAAATATGCAAAAATAAATCCTGAACTTTTAATGTATAAAAATGATTGATGTTATTACTTTAGTTTTATGATGTATAATTTATAAATTTTATATTACTACATAATTTAATGAAAACATTTTAATTTTTTAAAACAATTATTTTTAATAGTGATCAACAATATTATTAAAATTTATTAACTTTTAATAAATCTGTTAACACACTGGGGAACATGCCCCCACACCCTGTAATATGCATGCCTCTGGATGAGAACTGTGACACTAAATTGATGCCTACCCTCATTTTGTGTGTGGGTGCATATTTTTAATCCATTTGCCATCCTCATCTTTGGCTGTTTTGTATGTGTCCAGATAGAACTCTATAACAGCTTGGTAGAGAAAGAGGGTTCAAATGGTGAAAAGGATGCCTTTAAGGCATATAAAGCCGCCCGAGAGGAACATGAGCATGCTACTGAGTCAGGTGAAGGGGATAAAGTGTCATCAGCACTCATTGAGAGAGTAAGACCCTCTATAAGTTAGAAACTAATTCTCCACTCCTGAATTTGCGACTAATTGAAATGCTGTCAGGTTGATGTTATGCTTCAAAATCTTGAGAAGGAAATAGATGATGTGGATGCCAAAATTGGTGACCGTTGGAGGCTGCTGGACAGGTTTGCACTTGCAATTCAACATTGGTCTTTAACCTTTTATTTATTTATTTTATTTTTTTGGAGTTGGGGTGTGGGGTTCCTAAAGGAGGTCTAAGATCACGTAGAGAGGTACAGGTATGCTATAGTTTAGGCAAAGCAGCCTGGCTGAGATGGATCCTATGATCTAGCAGCTGTCCCTAAAGGGACTTGGTGCTTCTTGAGCCAAGGTTCTTATGACATTGCAATTTTTATAGGTCATGCTTTGTCTTGATCTTATCAAATCTCTTTACAATGAACTCCACGTTCATAAATTCAGTTACGTGAAAGTTGAACTATGATTGCCGCTGCATGCTTGAATATACTGTTTCAAGTAAGTTACTGAATAGGAATACTTGACTTAGTTGCTATTGATCACATTTGATTATTGGTTCGGAGCCTTTCATGCTTAGTATTTTCTCTTCCTAAGTGATTACAATTTTATGTGGAGATTTGTGGCAAGATATTGTAATTGTGTGAGAGCTGGGACCTTTCTTGGGTCAGAATCTGAAGTTGTAGTAAGATGAGAATCTTCTTACATGTACAAACTCAGTAAAATGAGTGTAGAAAGAATCCAGTGACTTTCCACCAAATGATACCATGCTGATCTTTCTCCTCCTTTTATTTACAAACCACCAAGCAAGGCTGTTTCCAATCCCATGAAGGCTTTCCACAATAATTGATATAAATTTCACAGTTTGCACTATTTTGTTGTGCTTTATTGTCTAGAAAAGGATTTGTATTGTATTATTGTTTAAGTTCACTAATAAAAGGGTAACTAGTAAAGATGTGAATATATTTTCATTTGATTTTGATAGTAGTTATAAGGTGCTGGCATTTGAATGGCAGAGGTATAATAGTTTGACTGCATTTTCCAAGTTGTAAGCTTATCAAACAACTCCCAAATGGGATGAATATATTTCTGTTAAAATTTCACATGATAATTTTGATTGGTCTTGTGCATGGTTTCTTTTTGTTTTCCATTTATACAAAACAGTTGTACTTTATTCGGATAATGTATGTTTGCAATGACATCTGTGCAAAGATTAAGAGTTGTTTTTGGGCCTTCTGCAGAGATTATGATGGGAAAGTAACTCCTGAGGAGGTAGCCTCTGCTGCAATGTACTTAAAGGATACATTGGGCAAGGAGGGTATCCAAGAACTCATCAGCAATCTTTCAAAAGATAGAGGTCTGTATTATATCTCTCACACACAGATATAGGTTTTTTTAATCATATGAAATTCCCGATTTTGCTTGCTCTGTATTACATTTAAAAATAGATTTGTTCTTCATTCAAATAAATTCCGGTGAAACTCATGGAATTTCACCTGTAGAGCAATAGGTGACTTAACAGTGTATCAGACCGATCAACCAAAAGTATTCCTTGAGTGTTAGGTTTGTGGTTATATATTAAATTGTTATTTGCAGTGGGTTATCAGAATAGTTTAAAAATTCCTTTCAAAATGATAGCTTGAGAGATTACTAAACCAGTATTTTAACATTACTTAAAAGTGGCAACTTGTATTTAGTTTTTGAAAGTATGGGCTTATATAAATTTGTCTGTAGATGTGTCAACTTATTAATAAGTGTAGCCATTAGCCAACCAAGTTAAGAACTAGTAGACAGTTTCATACAGATGAAAACTTTTAGGATCCAAAACAAATTAACTTTCCATATGTAGATCAAATTGTCTATTACTGAGAATAATGCTCTGGCTGAGGGAGGACAGCATTTTTAGTTGAATACTCTGGCTACTTATAATGTTTTTCTGAATGATTTATTCAGTGATTATATTTATCAAAGTTATCTATTCTTTATGAAGATTAGTTCATGAATACAATAATTACTGCAGTCTTCTTTTGTTGCTACAGATGGGAAAATACTTGTTGAGGACATTGTAAAATTGGGCAGTTGGAGAGAAGATGGCAATGCACCTGAAGATGGGACGGAGAGGGTGTGATCCGTCATTTGACTTCTAAATACATCTTGTTTGCGTTTGATGCCATAAAAAATGTTGCGCAACTATACTTTAGGCCATTGGGATCTTTTTAGTCATTGATTTTGCATTCATGTATTAATAAGTAGTTCAGTTGTAGCAGTTAGATTAAAATGAAGAGTGTGCAAGCTCTGTAAATTTTTTATAGTTGATCACACGAATATACTTACATATACACGATACAACACTTAAGCTTTGCTGATTATTGGGATACAATAACTGTACGAAAATTGAAAGTTAATCTCGTGAAATATAAGTGAAACAAAATATTATTTTTAATTACTTTATTAATTAATAGCTGAAGTACACTTGTTAAGAAATTAAAAAGAATTACTAAATGAAAGCTATATTATTTAACATATAGAGCACTAAAAAAACAAAAAACCCTTTATTTTGTTTCAAAGATGTTTCAAAGATGTTTGTTAACAATTCCTTGTGTGAACATTCGCGTCTCTGGTATTCTTGAACTAAGGTGAATATGCGTAACATTTGGTATGATTACATTTTTAAAATACTCACATCTAATAGTGAATATTACAAGACACAAATACAAAGCTAAATTAGTGGCAAATTAATTTAATTTAAATCCTTGAAGAGTTAGGCCAGACTCGTTAAATTTAAACAATGTTTACGAGACTCATTTTATTTATTTGAAATATCTTATTATAAATTTTGTTTTTAGATAGGCTTATAGGGTATGTTGAAATTATGAAAAATCAGGGCAAACTTTAAAGAATGATTCATATTAAGTGAATATGTTAGGCTTGGGTCTTTACTTTAAAAGCTAGGCCTAATTCTGGTATTGAAAATTTTTACTGATTTATATAATTTCTTTCCTAATCATAAATAAGTTAATGAGCTAAGTTTAAGTTCTAAAATTTCAGGTTAATTATCTTTTTTTATCTTTTAAAATATATTAAATTTTAATTTAGTTCTTATAAAGTTTTCTTTTAAGTCTCTACAATTTGAAAAAAGAGACTAATCTGGAGTTATTTAGATAAACTCTTCAGTATGCATTTATAAGATAAAAAAAATAAAGTTAATAAAGGAAATATAAAATAAAATAAATTTATTTTATACATTGAAATTAACTTATATAATAGTATTTTTAAAAGTTTGTTCATGTAATATATCTATAAGTTACATGAACTATTTTAAACATTAAAAAAGTTTATTGTTTTTATTTTTGAATCTATAAATACCCATTGAAAATTAGCTACAATTTTTAAATCTCGAGTTTTATGTTCATATTATATAGAATTCGGTCGCATATCTTCAGCAAGTTTCAAATTTATAATATCGGATGTGAAGATATGCCGCTAGTTAACTGTGTTTGTGTATATTATGTCTAGAAGGAACAGTGGAACCATAAGAATATTTAGAGCATGTTTATTTTTTAAAAAAAATATTTTTGTTTTTAAAAATAAAATAGTATAAAGTTTTAATATATTTTATTATTAAAAACAGTTTTCAAACACACTTCTCATACAATCCATAATCAACGTTACTTACAACCAATACGGATATTTAGTTTAGGGTCTCTTCAGATTGTTAATAAATTCATTGATATTGTTTGAACTGAAGTACCACCGTGACTTACTGCTTCTATAGCCAATTCCTTCCGTTTCATAACCTTGATCCTCATTTCTCTTCCATGGTTCCTTTCCATTACTTCCCTGATGCAATGCTCAATCTCTTCTCTACTCACAATGCCATCCTCATTTTCCTCAACTCTGATTCCCACCTTCCACACATCCTCAATAAATTTTGCATTCATGGGCTGGTCAGTCCATTGCGACATTGCAATCATGAGGACCCCCAACCCCAATCGTTCAAGTGTTGAATTCCATCCACAGTGTGTAAGAAAGCAACTAATATCTTGGTGTGATAGCACTTTCATTTGGGGTACTCAATTCACTGTCAAGCCCTTCCACAAGCACTAATTTCCTCCTCCAATGGGATTTTTTCTCTCTCAGGATCAGGATCACGCACAACAGATGAAACCAGTTCCCATTAAGCCCAATGCTATTTCCTCCATCTGCTCTTTCCCAAGGCAAACCATGACTCCCAAATGATTCATAAGCAACTGACCCAGTTGGCTTTTGTTTGAGTCAGTTCATGTCATTTGGGACCGTCTTGTCCATGTACAAGGATGGAGCATAGCTTTGACATGGAATTCACAGCCTATACATCAGTAAGAAGGAAAATTATGAGATTATAAATTGTTCAACCAAACATCAAAATTCTTTTTTTTTTTTTGTCATAAATCAGTTTAAAATACTGCTCAACCACGTTATTCAAGACCTGTAACTATTAATTTAGTTACTGCAGGATGAAATCGTATATATATTACCGATAATTTAGTCATTGTTCTTTTCTCATTTTTGTTACAATTATTGGCATAACATTTTATATCAAATTACACAAACTACTGCATAATTTGAGTATACATATACTCAAATAAAAGAAGAAGATGTCGATTAAGCTAGTGTCATTAAGAAAATAAAAGGCATTTATAAAAAATAAAGATTTATTATATTAACAATATAAATTTCATTTAACATATTTTTAAAAAATAATTAATGTTCTTTAATTTAGTATATATCTAATACTAATTAATTAATGTTCTAAAGAAAAGTGGTTACTACCCTCAAAAAAGTCTTTTGGAAGTAGGTTGAAAAATACCAAGTTTGACAAGAAAATAAAGATAAGATGACCCAAAAACCTGGTCCTCTAACTTGTAGAAGGGGTTGACAAGAAGGACATCTGCTTTGTGGATGTTAGAAAATTGATTCATGGCCAACTCAAGTAAGCTGGATAGAGTCCGGGCTCGAAAAACATGGAGGGTATGTCTTTTAGTTGAAGCAAGGAAAGCCCTTGAATAGAGAGAGTGGTGCTGAAGATATGGAGAGTCCACGGTGGACATATTATTGTATATGCAATTGTTTGTACACATTTGGGTGAAAAAAGCAGTTCCTACCAACCCAAATTCTTTGGCTACATTCATTACCCCCACTAACAAGGGATCATATACTACTCAATCTATGGAGTGATTAAAAGAGTTGTGTTTTTTGATGAGTTCCCTCAGGTTGTTGGTCTTCCATGTGAGATAGATAGGTTTGTATGCTTTCAGCTCGAGAAAAGCCACCTCGGTCGTAGCCATCTGAAATGGCATCAAATTGAAGGGTGCCTTGTAAAAATGGTTGTGAGCATGGTGGCTCTCACTCCTTTGCTACTCAAGCGCTTGCTGAATTGGAGCATTGGGTTTATGTGGCCTTGGCTTGGATATGGAATCACCAACACGTGCCTACTCCATCTTCTGGATGTACTGTTGACACGAGAGCAGGTGGCGATTAATAAACGAGAAATGTTAACACTGTATTCTCCTAAATCGATTGTTTTTTATGTATTTAAAAATATATTTAATAAAAAATTAATAAACAATACATTTTTATTATACATCTTTCGACAAACCTTAAAAATATTAAAACAACCGATTATTAATAGCATGATAAAAAATATATTTTAAAAAATTTACTATTATTCACATCAAAATACATTGTTATTTACTATTACTAAGCATATAGATAAGCTGAATTACTATAATTTTAAGTTTGAATTTAAATATTTTAAAAAAATTGTTACTTAACTTAAAATAAAATTATCTTAAATAAAAGATACTTATGATTTGAAAAAAAAACGCATACATTATTACTAATTACTAATTGAACAAGACATTACAATAGATTGTTAAATTGTCGACTACACCCTCAAATTATTAGTTATATTAATTAATAAAATAAATATTTATAGTATAAAATATGTAATTTTAATTGAAAATTGTTTATGATATCTAATATTTTGTAATAAATTTATTATAAAAAATACCATATTTGAAATTATATATAATTTAAAACCCCTACCGTTTGCAACCAAGCATTTTCTTACCCCGACAACATCGTACGACTCACAAATATTGACATCGTTTTCTATGTTTCGCACGTTGTGAAATATCAATTTACCTGATGAAAGAAATTGCAGTTCTACACGTTTTTCACCTGATGAAGCATAAGATAAAATCTTTATAATGAAAAAACAATTTATGTATAAATAGATATATTATTAAGATAAAGTGTAAAACTATTAATAGTTAAATCCACTTATTAACAAATTTATAATTATTGATTATTTTAAAAATATATATTATCATATTTAAAAAAATTAATATTAAATATTTTCAAAATTTTTTAATTATCCAATAAAATAATTTAACATTAATTAAATATTTAAAATTTAAAAATGATTATTTCTATATATATTAAGTAAATTTCGTCAATCCAATCATTAAATTAAAATGTCTTTTTTAACCAATCATGTCAATAAAAAATCATACAAATAAATTATTATTAACAATTTATATATTTTTTTTAATTTAATATATATATATATATATATATATTTTTACAATACAATGAAATATTAAATATAAAAAAACATATTTATAAATGTTTGATTTATTTAAAACTTTTATATGCATAATCAACATAAATATATAACTTTATTCAACAGTTAAATGACCAAATTCAATATTTATGAATTATTATTAAGTAGAATAACTCTAAAAATTATTTCTAGAATAACTTCATCTTGCTGAATATTTTTTAAGACAAATATTTTATCGAAATATATTTTAAGAGGGGATTGAGACCCATCCTTGATTCCCTATGTCACTATCCAACAGCAAGGGACAAGAAAGAGTTTGTTGTGAAAGATAGAAAGAGTATAAATTTCAGGTGAGTAAGTAAAAAAATGAGGGAAAGTTTCAGTGAGAATATGCAGAGTCAGGTACATTTGTATATCATTGAATTGTTTATTTGTAGTAACTGAGACCCACGTAATCCAGTGATTTCTGTATAAATTTCATTAAAAGAATGTTTTTTTACAAATGTGTCAGAAAAAAAAATGTTAAAAGAATGTGTTACAACTACGTCTACGTCCTCTTGCATAGAATCCAGCATCACTGACAGAAGGAAAATAAAATTTTACATACAATATATAATATTATACTATCAACTAGTTAAGCGTGTCTATGTAAGTTTACATACAATAATACAATATATAATACATTATCAACTAAATAGAGGCACCACTGACAGAAGGAAAATATAATTCTAATACAATCCAATTCCAAAGCCTCTCCATCAATTATAATTTTTTAAGGGAATCTATAATCAACATTAACTGAAACCAATAGGGATATTTAGTTTAGGATCTGTTAAGATTATTTATAAATTCATTGATGTTGATGTCTGAAGTGCCACCCTGACTCACTGCTTCTATAGCCAATTCCTTCCATTTCATAGCATTAATCTTCAATTCCTTTCCTAGGTCCTTTTCCATTACTTCCCTGATGCAATGCTCAATCTCTTCTTTACTCACAATACCATTCTCATTTACCTTAACTCTAATTCCCACCTTCCAAACATCCTCAACATATTTTGCATTTGTAGGCTGATCAGTCCACTGTGGTAATGCTACCATTGGCACCCCCAAACACAAAGCTTCAAGTGTAGAGTTCCAACCACAATGTGTAAAAAAGCAACCAACAGCGTGGTCTGATAGCACTTCCAATTGGGGTATCCAATTCACTATCAAACCCCTTCCACATGCATTAATTTCCTTCCCTAACTCTTTTGGGAGATTTTTCCTCTCCAGATCAGGGATCACCCACAAGAAGTTGAAACCAGTTCCCATTAAGGCCAATGCTATTTCAACCATCTGCTCTGTGCTAAAGCACACCATGCTGCCAAATGATATATAAATAACTGAACCTTTAGGCTTTTGTTTGAGCCAACTAATGCCTGATGAGTCTAATTGAAAGAGATTCAAATCATTGTCTGAGTCATTTGGGACTGCCTTGTCCAAGTGAAAGGATGGAACTGTTGGCCCAATCGTCAACAGTGGACATAGCTTTGACATGGAATCCACCACCTATATCATTGTTGATATGGAAAATGAAGAGATCATAAATTTTTCAACCAAACTCTGATCACAGTTTCAATTTTTTTGTCACAAGATTACTTTTATTAATTACAACTCACCATATTATTTAAAATCTATGACTAATAGGTATGTCTAAGTTATCTCATGAGATAAATAGCTCCATCTTAGGTGGACTACTGAAATTCAGACATTGTATTAAAAAGTGTATCTACTTTTTATTTAACATTTTATAGAGAAAGCTTTATTAATCCACGTAAGATAGGGTTATTTATACCATGAGGTAACTTATACAAATTCATGACTAACACGCATACTACCAATTTCCAGTAGTTGTCATTATTAATCATAAATAGGGACGAAATTATAGTTTTGGCTAGCTCTATAATACCCCCAATATTTATAAATGGCACACGATAACTCGTAAACACGTTGGTATGACATCTTTTGTTACAATCCTTTACACAAGATGACAAGAATTAATATCAAATGAATCATAAATTGCTGCATATTCTTGAAGAGTGAAAAATACTTTGCAAGTTTGACAAGAAATATGAAGAGAAGGAAGTGACCCAAAACCTGGTCCTCTAGCTTGTAGTAGGAATTGACAAGAACGATATCAGCTTTGTGGATGTTAGAAAATTGATTCATGAGCAAATCAAAGTAAGCTGGATACAAGCCAGGCTCGTAAACAAAGGCTGGTGTGTCTTTTAGCTCAAGCAAAGGAAGCCCCGGAATAGAGATTGGTGTTGAGGAAATGGGAATCTTTAAAAGACCATGGTAGAGATAATAATATATGTAATTGACTGCACACATTTGAGTGAAAAAAGCAGCTCCTAATAAGCCAAATTCTTTGGCTACATCCAATGCCCATACCAACACGGCGTCATATACTACACAATCTATTGGGTGATCAGAAGAGTTGTGTTTTTTGATGAGTTCCCTCAAACTGTTTGAGCCTATTGTTTCCATACGAGACAGATAGGCTGGTACGCTGCCAACTTGATCAAAGCCACCTTGATCATACCCATCTGATATGGTATCAAATTGAACTGAGCCTGGTATGGATGATGATTGGAGATGCATGGATTTGGATATGAAAATGGTTGTGACCATGGTGGCTTTTTCTCCTTTGGTGCTCAAACGCTTGCTGAATTGGAGCATTGGGTTTAAGTGGCCCTGACTTGGGTATGGAACCATTAACACATGCCTACACCTACTTACCCTCTCTTCCATCTCTTATTCTTATGTGTTGACACAAGCTATGCAAGAGAACTAATGATGGAGGTGATGATAAACAGCTCTATTAGTTGAAATCAATGATTTGGGTGCAACAGATCATGATAAAATCTCTCACTTTAGTCTTTTAATAATAATAATAATAATAATAATAATAATGATAATAAATTAAAGTTAGGTAAGAAATTTAAAATAATGATTTAATAAAGTCATTGATTAAAATGAAGAATGCATATCTCAAGAGCTAAAGTGCTAACTCATCTTGGGACAGGAGAAGGGAGAACCTCTATGATGAGAATCTACGAAGGCTAAGGGGGACCAGTGAGTGGGTGCATTTGAAACTCTTCTGTCCTATGATTTTGAATCGGCTGCAACCAAGTATTTTCTTATCCGCACCACATCGTACAGCTAATACAAACACTAGGCACGACTTTCTACGTTTCTCTCATATTGTACAATAGTGCCACCTCTTTTCGTCAAGGGTACTATTTCATATTTTGTTTAACTAGAAAAAATTAACTTAAATAGCATGCTAACAAGAGAAGTATTAGTCTTGTATCAGTTAACACATCAAAATCCATGAAATGATTGGAAAAACTCATCAAATAACATGCACATGTCAACAAATTTTAGCTAACAAATATTGTTTGATAAAATGTATTAATTGGTGTGTTATTAACATTTTTTTTTCTTAATAAAATCTTCAATTTTCAATTTCTTATAAAATTTTGTCCGTGTTTTATTTTTGTGTCCATATACGTAATAATCGCAAGCACAACAAATGACGAAAAAAGTATATGTAAATTCAAGTTGTCCCAGTTCAAGTAAGTAATGGATTCAGCTAGTTATCCTAAAATAAGCTTGCGACTATTCAAACCTCTAAATCTAACTTTATCCAGATAGTGACATTTATGCGAGTTGGTGTGCACAACGACTCCTTTTTATTTTATTTTTGGGTCAAAAAATGTTTTACATAGTTACACCATATTTTCAATGTAAAGATTTTAAAAAAACAACATATTCGATCCAATAAATTTAAAACAAATTAAAACTTAACATCGTCAATCCATCTAACATATTAAAAATAAAAAAATATCATCAATTAATCTAATAAATTTAATACAAATACTATACGTAGTCTCGATAAATATATATTGAAAGTAACTATATTCTACCAATCGAATGATTATCTGTTTTCTACCAATCGAATTTTCAGTAACTACATTAAAAAGAAAAGATAAGAATAAGAAAGAAAAAAGAACCTAAGAAATTTTGAAATTAGATTAGAAAAACATTTGTACAAAATTTTCCCGAATGTCAATAAATAATAGGAATCGATAATTGTTGATGTTTGTACAAATTTTTGCAATTGTCAAAACAGCAGCTGAATTTACAATCAGTCACCCAATGCTTGTTACTATACCATCCCCCACCTTCCTTCCGTCCATTCGAACCAGGTGTTAGTAATTTCCTACTTATTTTCAGCTATTTCTTTTCCTACTTTGCTTAAATGGTTACAAGTATACCCCTATAGTACCACTTTTTATGTACACAATAAACACCCCGAGAGCCCTCTTCAATGCTGGCAGAAGCATGGTTCAAGATGATGATGAATCAATCAGATTGAAAGACCAAGTGTTTATGCAAGGCTCTACCTCATCTCTTGAACAGAATGCCATATCATTGCCACCAGGAATAGTATCTCAATGCTGTGAGGCTGTCCAACCATGTAAGAAACTCAATCTTTAAAAGAATTATATCATCACAGGCTGTGAAAACATAAATAACAATGTTAGATGACACACATCTGAAAAGGATTTGACTCCTCTAAAAGTAATAAGTGTGTAAAGTAAAAGGGTAAGAATGTCTTCACCGTTAATTTGACTTAAGTGCCTCGCAAACTTAACTCAAAATCAACGGTACGTGCAACCGTGCTTCCTCACTTTACACATTCGCTTACTTTAGAAGAGCAACAAATCCATATGACTGTTTTTGGGGCAGAGAAGGGAGATTAAATAAAGAAAATTACCCAATTGTTCTAAGCAAGGCTTCAGCAGTGCAAATACATGTTCCCCCGAGAACCCAACCAGAGAAACTTATCAAGAGGACAAGATACAACATGTAAGCTATCCCTAGCCACTATAAAGCTTCCGCACTATAAAGCTTCCAGAGTTATTGATGCCTTGGTGAAAACAGAAAGTACAAATGGTGCTTCCTCCCCAGGGTGTATAGTAGTGGGAACTATAGTGTATCCCTTTGGCTCAGGTTCCAGAACCATTTCACATGATATTTCTCGAGAATTAACATAATCTGTTCCACCAACTGACTCATGTAGGTATATATTGAAAGCAGCACGTCTGCCACGAGTTTTGAGTATCCTCATTCCAATGTAAAACATCAGTGAATCATGGCTGGATTGATAATTTCTGAAACCAGCTGTTGTTCTTGAAAACCCCACGCCCTATAAATATGATGAAATGAAGTTTTAAAGAAATTTCTGGAAAAGTTATTTTCAATAAATGCACTATTAAATATCTAAAATTCTAAATACCATTTGTACCTGAGTTAAGGTAATGAATACATGAATTGGAAATGATGCATCTTGCCCAGTTGCAGTCAGTCTGAACTGTGGATTTTGATGCCAAGTATCATAATCCTGACAGCCCCCGGCACTGTAACCACGCCATTGACCATGAACAGAATGGCGCATCTCTGAGGGATAGACACGACATATATATATTGAACGAAAATGAATCTGAAAATCTTGCCAGGACATCCAGAATATGCCATCTTTTGACTGTCCAAATAGTGAAAAAAATAAAAAAAAAATTGGTTACTTGGGAGTCACAAATGTTAATAAAACTGGATGAGTGCAAATACTCTGATAATTCATAAAGAGATGATAACGAGTCAAGGACTAATCCATAGCAGGAAAGCCTAAACAAATACCTGCGGAACATGCTTCAACTTGTGCTTTATCCTATCTGTCCATTCAGGCGATGAGTCAGACCAGGGACCATTCCACTCAACTTCATTGGCCCATGGATTTCGGATCTGAACAAGTTTATGACCATCCACCTCTCTAACCTAAAATTGTACGAGACCAGTGACCATTAAAAATCATTAGGATTGTCAAGGACCAACTCTCCTTAAGGCTTGAGTTGTGTTGGGTGAAGCCGTGAAAGGCTCATAAGTCATGCATGACTATACAGCAAAAACACACACTCACACAAGAGCCTTTTGGGCTTAAAACGTGAATAATGCACAAATATACTGCCTTGTTATACAATTCAACTTTATTATTTCAATTAAGAAAATAAGGGTAGCAAGAATAAAGGTCCTGACTACTTGATCATAAGAGGCTTTGTTTCCATTTCAAGGAGCAACTCTCTTAAAAGCAAAAAGCTTAAGTTTTATATCTAACAATTACATAATAGAATATAAAACATTGCCCCATTACCTGCAGTATTGAGTATGCATGTCCTTGCACAATGCCACTAGAAGAGATGTGCACATCTGAACCTGAAGGACTTCCTGCACCTAGAAGAAAACCTTCTTGTTTGAAGCGTAATAATTGAGACCACAATCTACCACTCGCAAGGTCAATCTGGGCTTCACCGCTCCTCATGTCAATTTCCTCCCCTGCACCCCCAGTAAGATCCACCAGAGCATCCTGAACAAGCCCCCCTTCTAGTGCTTCATAAGAGCCATGCAACTTGGCGTATGCCTTCTCTAATATAGAGACCCAAAGTTCATAGCCCTTCTTACTAGTAGCAAATGCAGGTTTACCCGGTAATTCACAAGGAATCCAATCATCAACAACCACAGGGATCCACTCACCCTAGATATCATGAACCAAAATATGATAAATAACTAAGATGTCAAAATAATACAAAAAATATAGCATATCAGATAAATTTGCAACTAGAAAGAGGAAAAGAAGAGAAGGGGTCTTTTTTGAGAATTTGAGGTTGTATTGTGAGGAGAGACCAGGCTCACAGCCCATGGAACACAAATAATTCATTCTTTTTCTGTCCTTTCAGGCAGCTATTGTCTACAAAGGAAGAGCTTAACAATACAGATTCTATATTTTTGCTCCATTTACTGTCCCAGTATCTAACCACATCATAACAATTGTCAATCATTTATGTGATTCAACTCTTTTTATATGCTTATTACCTGAACACAAAAGCGAACGGTATAAATTCCCTCCTCGTTGTATTCTGGAGTGATTATTACCTCTGATATGCGTGAAACCTCTGTCAGAACAGCAACAGCACTCAAGAACCAACAATCACCTAAACGGCCCTGCTCAGTACACATAACTATTTATATAAATTGCAAAACCCAAATACTATCGGAATGAACAAGCATTTATTTCCAAATTCTTGCAAGTGAGATGTATAACATGAGACCTGACAAACATCTGAAGGATTTGGAGCTCCAGAAAATAAGCATGGATGACAGTCTAGATGATTCTGTCTGGCAATTTCACCAGGCCTCAACCACTCAGATACAACCTGTATATAAACAATAATAAGATTGTAGAGAAAAAATACAGTAAAATAAATTGAAGTTAATAACAAAGAGAAGGACCTGTAACTTTGAAGGGGGGTTTGCAGGGTCCACAAACAATGAGTGATCATTCGGGGGAAATTCCTGATCAGTAAAACGTCTCTCTCCTCTAGCAAAGAGAGCTTCTTTGATGGCTAATTCTACAGATAGCATCCGTTGATTAATCTCTTCTTGTGTTTCAATTCTAGGTTTTCTATATTTCCTAGAAAAAGAATCGATGTCCACCACCATGCCTTCTCGCTCTGACCTTCTTTTCCTCCCACTAGAATACTGTCCATCCCAATCTACGTCATCTCTGTCATACAGATCTACATCAGCAGGATCACTGTCCCAACCATCAACCTAGGTGCAAAATGTATTAAAAAGATTAGGCAAACAAAGTAAACATACTAGCTAAAACACCATTTGTTATGCATTTTTTACCTTTTCAATGGTACAGGAGACAGAATAGTATGATGCTTAGTAACGGTAAAGCATGATAAGAACATGTGCTATATGTTAGAGCATTTAACAGTATTAGGAGAACATCTTGTTTTGTTTCTGTATTTATACAATTTGTTCCATACAAAAAGGGAGAGGCAGGAAAGGAATAAGCAGCAGCATACCCTAGAGGGTGAATCAGCCCACTGCCAATTATCTTCAGGGAAATCAAGTGCACCAAAGTCTGCTGAAGCCATTGAGGTATAGAGAGCAGAAACCTCATCATCAGTTAAGCACCTTCCCCAGATAAAAGCA